TGAAAAATTTGTGCGTTTAGGCCAGGGTTCGTTTTCGTGTGGACGGGGCCTGAGAGCAAAGAAATGAACAAAACTGACCTACATCTGTCCTTCAGTGACACAGGATCTGAAAAAAACTTCACTGTGAATCAGAGAAATTTGATCCATTTATTAGTTTAACTTTATTGATCTCACATTGCTGAATTTGACCTCTGCATTTAACCCATCCCCTTGGGGAGCAGTGGGCTGCCAGCTGGGTTTAAGGGTCTTGCTCAGAGAGCCAGAGTGGCAGTTTGTGGGAGTGGGTTTCAAACTCAGAACCTCAGGATTCCATGCTCTAAGCCTTCACCACTATGCCGCCACTCCCCACTATTATGTTATATATCATATTTGTTGCAATCCACTCTGCTCCATTATGTTGACCTTCATCTCATGGCAGATCAGTTTTAATGTTTTTATATTAATTTTATCTGATCAACGTTTGCATTTGAAGTAAATCCTGATTTATATCTATAATAAAGTAAACAAATGTTATCAAGGCATGTTATAATTTGTTTATTTTTGTGTGACTAAAGATGTTTAAAGTTATATAAAAGAAATCATGCTAAGTCTTAGATCTCGAAAACTCGGGGGGGGGGCACAGAGGACTCGAAGAGATGGGCTTGATCTGGGACACATGGAAGATGGGATGGATGCAAAGAGAGGAGGGAAGGCGGAGAGAATGGCAGATTCCCCAATGGTCCTCTCCACCTCATAAGGACCAATGCATTTGGGGGACATCTTCCTGGACATTGGGAGGTCCTTCCCAGGGCCGTCCTGGCCCGGTTCCAGAAGGTCCAGCAGCGGCGGATGTGCTGTTGTACGGAGGGAACGATGTCTGCCTCTTCTGAGGGAAACAAGGGTGGCTGGTATCTGAAGGGAGATAGACCTGTAGCTGTGGAGACACTAGAGCGTATTCTCCCAGCTCAAAAGTTGACTCCAGTTTAAAGGGTCTGACTCAGTGAGACATCTGAGGGTGTTTTCTGACTCCTGGTTCATTCTTTCCACTTGACTGTTGGATTGAGGGTGGTAACCGGAAGTGAGAGAGACCTTGGCCCCAAGCGCCGAGCAAAATCCTCTCCACACCTCGCGGTCAGACAGGATGCCCTGGGGATGACCCAGCATGACATTTACTGTTTCAGCATCATAATTGTGGTCTCAGCCTAATCATAGGCTACAAACATAGCACAAGAATTCACCTTAGATGACAGGTCTATGTAAAAAAATAAAATAAATAAAAATAAAAATGTAGTTATATAACTTGTTTACTTGAGTAAATCCTCCACAGGACCCCAATGTTGGCTGAAAATGTCTTTTTTGGAGTCTTAACAAATGTGTTATCTTTTCCCTTTGGTATAATTCCCTTACAATTTGGACCCATGGGTTGTAGGAAGGCGGCTTTGGTTGTTCTTAATTCACATTTGAACTGCTTTTAAAAGAATAATTAAATCTTTTTCTGACAGCCAATAAACTGCATCGATTAACCACTGCGTAATTTAAAGGTTTTAAGTTTGGCGTACAGTGAGAAAGGTGTGTTTCTAAATAGGCTTGATCAGCAATTTTGACTTTTGGAATTTTGGACATTTTTACGCTTTGAATGAATTGATGGAAGAGATGGAAGAAGAGCTAAAGAGAAAAAGCCACTGCTCTGCTTTACACATGCAAAGGAAACATTTGAACCAATTCAACCTATTTGCTCAGTGGAAAGAACTGATTGGAGCCATATGTTTAGCTCTGGATGGAAATGAAATGCTGCTGCAGTTCCGTTTCAAACCAGGTTCATCCCCAACTGGAGATGATTGGCTTTTTTTTTTTTTTTTTTTTTATTAGTCTAATTATTCCAGAAAATACGAAGCCTTAAAGACAAGTCAAACAAAAGCAGCTGTAAACCAAAGGAAATATAGGCCACAATAGATAAACGCTAACTTTTGCTTTTAACTGTGGAAGGTCCTTCGACTCCATAGCAATCCTTGTCGCTTGAGAGAGATACAGCAAAAACGATCTAGAAATAAGTAAAAAA